CACACACACACACACACACACGGGCGGGTGCAAGGGGGCGGCCTTCGGCCACCCCCCCGCACCCACACCGTCGTCAGAGTTCTGCCCTGACAGTACAATCGTAGAAGTCGTGTGCCCCTGTGGAGGGGGGGGAGGAAGTTACTTCGCTTGGAAAGTTCAACGTTTCTGAACAGGGAAAGGTGTAGACAGAGGTCTGCAAAAACTACGTCACCTCATTAATGTTGATATTACGAAGAAAATGAATATAGCCTTTTTTGTAGAGAATTTGATGTTCTTTATTTTTTGTTTGAAACATTTTCTCGTCTGAGGTATATTTTTTGAAATAAATGCAAAAAATTGGAAAAAATCTTGTTTTTGAACAGTTTTTTCAAAATTGCGACTTCAATTTGTCCGACCGCCAAATTTTATTATCATATTCGTAATCAGGAGGCAAAAATACGTCGAAAACATGTCCTGAATATTTTTTTTGAGGTGACGTAGTTATTGTAAAGTTTTACCATGTTTTGTAATAGTTATTCTGATTTAATTGTATTTTTTTTATTAATCTTTTCAATTTAATAATATATGTGTTTAGGCCAAATGGCTGCCTTTAGACGTAGAAAATTTTATGGTCACTCGTGAAGACTATGGTGATATACATTTATTAGATCTTGAATACAACTCAAGGAAACAATTGTTGCACTATGAATCATCCTTTCATAATTTGGTACCACGTAGGCATCTTTTTATGAATGACAGGTCATTGGCTGTGCATCCTGAAATACCCTATGTCGTGTTTTCTGCTGGAAAAGACTCGATTTTATCCATAGATATCCGGGAGGATCCATCAAAGTAAGACATTGTTATTAAAAAGTTCACATGTATAATGTTTCTTATATATTCTATGTTTATAGCATGCAGAATGTCTACATATAATATCAATTTTTTTTTTCTACCAAAAATCGTTGTATTGGCTGTGTTCAGCAGACTCAACAGTTTTGCAACCGTTTTATAATTCGTCTCGCTGATTGGATTATACTTTTTGTTCTAAAGAAATAGTCCTGTCTCAAAGTTATAAAATAATTATAAAACTGTTGAGTCTGCTGAACGCGACTATTATCTGACGTTAAGTGTAGCACGGGATCGTCCTGTGTACTTATATGCGAATCAATCACATTGTGATTGAAAGATGACTGGACTGTTATGACAGTTATAGCTCGGTTCAACCAAAGTAATATTGATTTATTTCGGTTCAACTTACTGTTAATCTTTTCCTAATTCTCATAATTGTTTCTGTTTTTTTAATCCAAGAATTAGAAAAATAGGAAGAATAAGTTAAACCAAAATATAGACTTATATGTTTGCACCGGAGTTAATGCCTATTTTTTAAATGTAGATTAATTTTAATCTTGGTTCAACTTATACTTTGGACAAGAAAAATGATAAAAATCTTATTGAATCGTACATTTGAAACTCAACAAACGGAAAATAGGATATGCTGACATAAAAGATCCAGGTTCGACCATTATAACAAAAAAAGTTAAAACAACATTAAATTTAATCTACGTTAATTAGTACAAATGAGCACAAGTCGATTAAATTCTACATAGACGCAATACTAAATTTTGAAAATATTCAATACTAAAGACCGTTAATATGTGTAAGAACATAACTAATACAAACACGAAGCCTACAACAGTCTAGCTTGGATCTCTAATTGCTTACATGTACCGCGGTACTATCACGATTTAAAACAAATGAATAATTAACTAATATATGTAGTCCCCCCAAACTGCGCGTCGAACTATCATTGGTCTTGAAACGCAATTCTAATAATCTGAAAATAATAAATCTGGAAATAATTCTTCTTATTGTGAGAAATATTACATCGGCCGGGAGTCGAACCCGGATACCTTGCTGTAAGCAAGTGTCCTAGCCAATTAGACTACCGAGGCCATAGTAATATTCCTCGCAATAATTTACTTTAATTGGTGATAATACCGCAGTAGTTTATATGTAAACGATTAAAGATCCAAGCTAGACCGTTAGGATTCATGTTTGTATTAGTTATACTAATAAATTTTGAGTTTACATGATAAAAGTGTTTATTTTTGGTCTTTAATACACATGTTATATATACTAATATCCATTATAATATTAAATACATTTATGTTTATATCCATAGATTGGTCGATATGAAGAAATTTCGAAATAGTACGTTAACAAGTATACATTGTAATCCTTCTAATAGTAATGAATTTTGTGTCAGCGGTCATTTTTCCTGCGTAAGGGTGTATGATCAGCGAAATATTTCAAAACCACTTTATCAATTGTGGACCACCAAGTATGGCAAGGTATGTATTAGTTTGATTCAAACCTATCGTTGAAAAGTTTATGAATATTTAAAGAAATACTACAGTGTTTATGTTTTTTACATGAGTTTTAATTACATATGTAATTTACATGTATTTGAAGGATTATTATGAGTACGGCCGTGGAACAATCGCCATGTATAATCACGATGGGACAGAGATTCTCACATTGTTTCATGCTTCCAAAATATTATTATTTGATAAATCAATGTGGTCATGTGAAGGAACTTCGAATCATACATTATTTGAAAGCAATCAATTTAGTTCTGTACCTGGTGTACCTGCTGAGGTAGCCGAGAGATATACTAGACGTAATTATATTATTATTATATTCCCGGTATTTTAATTTTATTTATTTTTAGAACTCTTTATTTTAAGTATATTTCAAGAGAGAAGTAGCATACAGTAACATTATTGAATGGTTTATTTGTTAATTAATTTTTATTCTGAGATTATTGTTTAAAGATTTTTTTATATACATTCTTCATATTTTTTTTTGTCTATGTAATTGAAAAAGCGACGCTTTAAATAATTATAATATGATTTATTAATAGTAGATATTGTTGTCCTAGTTATGTGTTGTGATTGCAGGTATACTTGGAATCAATTTTTTCGGACCTAAAAGTGAATTTATTATATCTGCATCCGATCTTGGTGATATATTCATTTATGACAAGGAGAAAAGAACTGCGGCACAGTGGTTGAGAGAAGATTACAAATACGTAAAGTGTTTTCATTTTGTGCATTTCATAAACAAATTTTTCTTCTTCGTAGTAGGTGTTGCACAAAATAACTTTTATTCATTTAATGTATAGATGTTGAGTCATCATTGCTTAGGTCATCCCCATATTCCTATCCTTGCAACGGCAAGTGAGTCCAGTGTCCTGATATGGATGCCTTCGAGGAATGAAGATCGAAAAAAATTTAGGACTGTATGTATCGAATTATCTGTGCGTTTTTTTTTGCATTTCTTTTTCTCGCTTAATCATATAATTTATTAAATAAATAACATAATTTTTAAAACAACGTCACTAAAATAAGCAACATAGTTGAATACAATAAATTAGTGGCATCAATAAACCATAAAATTATGATTTATGCATTTCCTGTACTTCACAAGTACTTACATCAAGTTCAGTAGAATAGAAAGCAAGCATATAACGATTTCTGAAGTAACGTCTGGATAAAAATGGGTCAATGGTAGGATTGTCTCGCGATTGGGCGATCTACATTACGAAATAGATTATGAGGGCAGATGCTTCAAGAGGCACGTGGATCATATTCGCGCCTTTAGTGAGAAAAAAAGCTGAGGACCAGTCTAATGGTCAAAAGAGGCCAAAAGAGAAGGATAAGCCTCGTAGAGTTCATTTTTATGATAACGATATCGCAAACATTCCACAATAAAGCTAATTTGCAGGTACCACCGTCACCACGAGGACCACCTTCACGACCGAGTCCGTCCACTCCAGAGGAGCGTTATTGGACATTACCCGCGACTCCACGTTCACAAAGGTCTCCGCCACATCGAGTACAGTCACCTCAAATCGTACGGAGATCTACGAGACCTCGCCACCCTCCACTACGTTATACACCAAGCTAACGGCATTGTCCTTAGAAATCCATGTACTCTAAATACAAAAAAGGGAGGAAGAGTATCGTATTTGCAACTTTCCATCAGCGATCGTTATGTTACCGACACGGAGTTTACGGTTGTCGCTACTTTCTGTCTGACTGTCTGTCTGTTTTTGTGTCTGTTGCATACAATAAAACAGTCTTTGTATATCTCTTAATTTTACAGTCTTCTTCTTATAATCACCCACATAAATTCAATACACAAAAATTTATTTTTCCGATTACTTGCATTACAAAGATATACATATATTTGTCATAGAGAGTTTGTGAAAGTATGTTTATTCGCCTTATTTACATTTTTTACACTAAGCATCTTTGGCTTCTTTCTCTTCACCCACACACACACACACACACACGCACGCACGCACGCACGTCCAATATATGTCAGGAAATAGAAAATTACTCGTTTTAAAATTAAAGTTACAGTTACTCGTTATGGAATAAAGAATATTACGAGTTACCGTTACTAATTATCGCATTTTGAAAGTAACTCATTACAGTTACCGTTACTCTAAAGGTAACTTTTCGTTACTTTTCCGTTACTTTAACTGAAAATGCATAATCTTTATGTTCAATTGTGTGGTTTCGACCATTGTTTCGACTTTCTATGCGAAGCAAGAGCTACCTTTCACCACTAAATGGGTTGGGTTAGGTTATTTTTAACAGTCGTCGTGCCCCTCCACAGGGGGGGGGGGGCGGAACCCACTGCATCCATGCATACACTTCGCAACATTCAGTAATTTACAAAGTAGGTGTTTCCCATTTACCGGAATGACATATTATTGTATTATACGAAATTAGATTTTTGGTCTAAATATCTCAGAAACTATAAGAGACCGCCGCCTAGTTGTTGAGGCAAGGTTACTCAGAATCATGACCTTGACAACATATGTCAAGGTCAAGGTCATCGGAGCTGGGTCCCCTAAAGTGCATAATTACCCTATTAATCGGTTTGTAAGCAATAGAATTTTCTGAATTATTGATAATGTTTTTGAATTTTTCCGAGACATCTTTATGGTATGGAACTGTAAAGTGTAATTATTTATTTTTTTAATACCACCATTAGTTATATTATTTTTATTATTATTATAATGTTTTAAGCTATTAATTCTATTTTTGATAGAAGAAAATAGAAATTCTAAAGGATATGCATTATTAAGTAAAGTTTTGATTAATTCTATAATGTTTTTAGTATGAAATTTAGGATGTGATGATAAAATTATTCGGTCAATCAAGGAAATTATGACACACTTTTTATGATATTGGATGATTTGAAAAAAAGTTGATATACCTTCCAGAATTAGTCGGTTTTTTATACATATCAAAGAGAAATCTATCGTTTTTAACACCAACACTCACATCTAAAAAATTGATCCAATCATCAATGCTACACTCCAGTGTAAATTTAATTCTGTTATTATAAGAGTTAAAAGTGTTAAAAACTCGTTCAATATCCTTCTTAGGAATTGCTAATAATATATCATCGACATATCTTTGGTATATCGGAATGTCTACATCTATGGTTGATAAAATCTCAGTTTCTAAATCCTCCATTACAAGACCAGCCAATATCGGAGATAATGGAGAGCCCATAGGCATGCCGAAAATTTGTTCATAAAATTTATTATTAAATTTAAAATAAGTAGGATTAATAATAAGATTCAGAGCTTTTTTGAATTCTTCCATCGAAATTGAAGTATGTCTTGTGATGGTATTCCATCTTTTATCAGTACTTTGCATTATTAAATCAGTTGGAATGTTCGTGTACATAGCTACAACATCAAATGAAACTAAATCATAATTAGAATCGAGCTTTTTGCCATTTAATTTTTCAACTAATACGAAACTATTTTTAGTGTAACCTTTTGTATTTGTGATACTTTTTTCAATAATTTTTTAAAAAAAATTAGAGAAAGGATACATAGGCCTATTAATACAACTCACAATCATTCTAAGAGGAAAACCTGTCTTATGTATTTTTGTGAGACCATAAGCTCTCGGCAACACACCATCTGTGACTAATAGTTTTCTATATGTGAGTTGATCTATAAAACCTTTTTCTTTGAAACTTATTAGAATTTCCCTTGTACAGTTAGTCATTCGTTTTAATGGGTCTCTATTAATTAAAATAAGAGTCTATACAATAATTAAATGTGAATTTTTGCATTGCCCGAGAAAAACAAATCTATGTACTTTGTTATACACAATGGTTACCTCCTTAGACAGCGGACTTGTAATTTGCGTTTTTAAGTTATATTAAATATCGTGACATGTGCGAAAGCGACAACGGTTTGTTGTTAGCATACGAAGAGAAATGATTTTATTTCCTTAAATGTGATGAACAATATTTGGGAGTACAACAAGGTATCTTTATTATTTTCTTCTCTTCTTTTTTTCCTTTTTCTTCCTCCTTTTCTTTTTGCGAATCCTGCCAGCATTATTTTTGCTTCTCATTTAAGTTTACGCACATTACGTGCAGAAAAGTGAGTCCGCGTGCGTGTAAATATACATATTGTATCCATTTGAATAATTTTTATCTCTTACGAAGATGTGATTACGGTACATACGTAAATGAATTATACGTATTTCGTATTCGACCTATTAGTAAGTAATGTGAATAAGGTCTGATATGTATACTACTGATGTAGTACTGATGTATAGGACCTACAGTTTAACGCCGAATCCGAACGGCGTTGATGATCATAGATGTTTTGATCACCAGGTGGAGCCATTTTTTGGCTCATTAAACGCGAAAAATCGCGTTTGGGCGCACGTGGGATTGAACTCTGGTCTACAAATCGCGAGTCAATCGCACAGAGTGGTGAGCCACTCGACGCCACATTATTCGACCTATTAGTAATGTGAATAAGGTCTGCGTAGAATATGTGAACACGTATTTGATTTTCCATGTGGAATTTATCGTAAGTGCTACTTTCAATGGGGCAAATATCACATATTTTTATTTCGACTCTTTTGAGGAAGTGTTTCTAGATTTTATCAAAATTAAAGCTCTTTAGCCACAATCCAAATCTACTTATCTCAACTTTAAACATTTTTAGCTTTCATTAATTGATTTTTGACAACTGGCATCTTGCTTTGATTTTTCTTGTTCAGTCTGAATAGAAGCATCACGATTTTATTTCAATTTTTGTCAACTTCAGAGATTTTCACCAAGATTGAACATGGCGTCTTATCTCGTACATATATGTGTAGTTCTTTAGCTTGGAAATATACCTATACATTTAACATTAGAACTTAATTATTACATTACATTGTAATTTCCAATAACCGCACGAATTCTTTTCATTAAATTACTAATGTTAATACCAATGTTGATATTTTTAATATAAGGAGTTATTTACTTTGTTATCGTAATATTAAATTATAAGAACTTAGAGAATTATTTAATGTTAATACACCTCATAGAAAATAATATTTTTCTATGAAAATACAAGACTGACAAACGTTATTATTGTAATGTGAGTTTTTATAACGTTGTATAAATCCATAAATAAATATTTTTAATTTTTATGAATTGACCAATATATGTAACCACATAATTGATTAATCGTATATGTAATCATAATCAAGTAATCATTTTATCTAGTTATACCATGAGTCTGTTTTTTAATATGAATCACAAGTGAAAATGAGAATAGTTTTTGTAAATACTTTCAACTAAAATTATAACGGATTAGCGGATAATAATTATTTCAGAAATAAAAATAAAAATAATCTTATTATGGAACGATAAACAATCTCTCAAAGAACAAACGTTCTACAACAGATATGGATTAAACACCAAGCTGTTCTTCTATACCAAAGAAAAAAAAAGAATATCGCCTATAGGATCTTTGACGGAAGATTCTGAAGTACTTTGTAAACAGCAGTTAGAATCTGATATGCCTGATCGTATTGGATCTTTTATGAGATATCTAGAGTCGGAAATGAGGACACTTTCCAACAAAGCAGTGAAGAATTTAATACGAAAAATAACGGAATCCTTAATGCAGATACAAGATGAGTTAGACATATTGTGAAAACAAAACATTAATTGGTTTCTCGACCAACCTCTTTCGTAAATAATTAAACTAGAAAAAAAGAGAGAAAAGAGATAGATTTTAAATTGATTTAATACATTTTTGTTGTAATATTTGACTGTATATTGTGATGTATTTCATGTTATATTTTTTTTATCTGCAGTTCTTCAACAAAATAGCCCTTATTTTTTCTAAAAACCTAATAATCTTCAAAAACTAAAGAAAAAAACAATTTCTTTGCTTTGTAATATTTAGTTATGTGCTATGATATTTTTATTTTCTTTTTATGCAATAATAAATAGCTACCTAATGTGATATTATTTTAAGAAATCGCAGGCTGTGCGTAAAATAATTTTTGTAAGTTTGCCTAAAAGCTAATTGTACTATAATGTTAAATATTCTTTATATTTTGTTTGTAGTTATGTAGTATGTAATTGTTGTAATCATACTATTATTTTTGCGTTAGCTATTATCACAACAAATATGAAAGTACTTGTCAAATCCTCACACTGAAATTATAAGTACAAAAATGTATAAAATATATACATATTTTAATATTTTTGGAAATTATATTTGACATTCTCATTGTATTGATTACACTTCCCATTGCTCTCGAAAATTTGTTGTTTGTCACATTAATAATGGACCAACCAAAGAAAGAATCTCTTCAAAAGTTTGTGGAGACATTCTCATAAAGTTGAAGTAGGTTTCATGATCATACAAGCGGAGCTCCTGTATTAAATATTCTCAGTTTCCATGAGTTGGTCTCGTTTTAAGTATGGGACGCTCCCAGAATCGATGAAACCTTCGATTTTCCACCTTCGATTTACGTTTTATTCGTCTATGCAATATTATCATGCCATTTTCGTTCGAAAACGCTGTCGATTGCCCTCCATGATTTTAAGTTACGCGTGGTTACGTGCTCGATTTGCTCTCTCATGCGTTGATTTGCGGTGACGCTGACGTTTCAACCCTTTATACATTTATAACTTTTATTAAAAAATTTGTTAATAATTAAAAATTTCTTTTCATAATTCTTTTCACAACTAAACAAACGTTTTTTTATTTTATTTAAAAATTAAAGAGATTTCGCGAAGATTTTAATATTATATTATTACATAATTTTAATATTACATATTATTATAATATAATTGTACGTATAAATACCATAAATAATATTTTTCTAACTCCCGGACATACATAATGCAAAATATGCGAACATAAAAAGACTGCGTTTTATTTCGTATAAAAAGTACAAAATTATTCTTATATGTACATAATAATACATAGGTAGTTAAGATATCTACAAGGATACTCGAAGTAATTTGCCACACTGCGATTCTTCGCTTTCATTCTAAATCCCTTACTCTCTTTTCTACATTTTTGCCCAAATCACATAAAAAAACAAATCACACAATGCCGAAAAATCGTCGTTCTTTTACATCAGCATTTAATCGTTGACATTAATTATCGCGTAAGCAACATACAGACCTAAATCAATTCTTTTTCCTTCATCACGAAATGACAATAAAGTTAAATTCGATTCAATTAATGCTCCACTCGAGACGTACGTTATATTGTAATGCAAAAAGCTTTTTTTATCCGCAATAGACAAAATCTTGAATATATATTACCACGTTGTGTACGGTTTCTCGAAAAAGAAACTTTGCATCCGGACGTGGATTAAACATTTTTAAACATTTCGAGAAATAGCTTTTAGAGCTAATTAAAACGTCGAGAAAGTAGAGTCGTCGATAGAATCGGTGCCGTCGGAGTTGCTCTCGGCGGCGTCTACGAAGGCTGTCGAGAGATCACCGGCCAGCTTGCTAACGGCTCCGGAGGTCACGTCGTACATGAAGATTTCCTTGTCACCTTGACCGTCACCATCTCTCGGCCTAAAACATCGCAGTGAATCCGAGTGAAAGCGCGCAGCCTCTTCGCGAATTCCTCGACTTTCGAGCAGATTCACGAGACGGACGAACCGTCGATTATAATATGATACGCAACAAGATGAGATTTATATTAACATTTAATACACACGAGAGGTCATTCTTACCTCTTGTTAATTTTAAATAATTCATTGTGTATATAAACGTCATCATTAATTACTTGATGCTTCGATTTTATTGAAGAAATTTGCACGAATGATCCAAACGTGTGTATTAAGATCGAGTTAATAATAGCATTTTCTTCCTCTTTTTATTAACAGAACAATTAATGATAACACTAGTTAACAAAAAATTCTTTTTTTCAATCACTTTGGGACCAGACTTTGTGTTTCCTAGTATAGATTTTTGGATGTGGAAGACGATGCTGCAAGCAAAAAAATTCTAGTACATCAGATTTACAAGATAATTGATGTTTAATATGTAAAAAATAGTTTTTTTGGTGACATTTAATATCTTTTTTTTTATAAAGAAGGTTAACGTTATCTTGAAATTTCGATCAGGAGTTATGAATGTATTGTTCATCTCCCCTAAAATGCTTTTTTCTATTCATTACTTTACTTTTTAGCCACGTTATGAAGGATTAAAGATACTTATAATTGTTTTGTTATTTAATTTTAAATTATGATATACTTATTTCTTCATAAAATTGCCAAGTTCTACTTTTATTTTATTACTCTTTGGGTAGAGATTTCTTTTGTTATCATGTTTTTATTGCTTGTTCCATTATGAAAATGGAAGCACTTACTAAAAAAATGTTTAAAAATGTGGCCATAAAAACCATTTTTTATGTATTAAACCTCAATTATCTTGGAAATCTGACATGCTAGAATTTTTTCACTTGCGACATCGTTTTCAGCGTCCAAAAATTTATAAGAGACACGTAGTCCGGTCCGCAGAGTAATTTTTTGCTGTAAACTAGTGTAATTATAAGTTTTAAACCAAGTTTAGTTAATAAGAAGCTCGTGTGTGGTAAGTTGAAATCAATAAACTACGTATAGCCATTGAGAACTAGGGTAATAAAGCTACGACCTCGGTGAAACGCACATTCCCTCCGTTTTTGCCAACTTTCGATTGGCAGCAGTCGGGAATAAAAAGTTAATGGAATGAATAGTCGATCAGCGTGAAAATAGAAAAAATTCCAAGTACGATGATCATTGCTGCGAAATTATAAATTTGGAAGATGTTAAAGAATTTAGTGACTGCTTATAATAATGTTAAAGAAATTAAATATAAAAGATATATTAAAATTGTTATTTCATTAAAAATAGAATAGAAGATAAACCCACACAGAGCACACTTTAGCCGAGGGACGTCCTTAGGATGTAGATCGTCCTCTGGATGTCTTTAGGACATCCCTTGGAGGTCTGATGTGCTCATGAGAAAATAAAGAAATTTTTATTTTATCAGTAAAACATGATAATCATCTATAAAGTCGGAAAATAAAATAAATCATCTGAAATCTATCGACTCTTCCATCGCGAATGCAGATACGGTGATGTAACGTGTCGATTTTTTTTAGAAAGCGGCACTGGAGAAGCAACAGATATCTAAAAGTGCCTGAAGCGTCAAGAGGAAATGAATCACGACAATTTTATTACGCGTACAAGCATCACGTTTAATACTTACATAGTCACCAGAAGTACGACGGATTGTCTCTGTGGCTCGGTGCGGCTCTCCTGTTCGAGCCACTTCTTGTAGTTCTCCGCGGTAGGCTTCTTCACGAGTTGCTTGAGGGTGTCTCCGGCGAGAAACTTGACCGGCTGCGCGTCGCCGCCGGTCTTCCTGCTGCGCCGCTGAGACTCCGCGATCTCCCTCTCCTCGCCGGGAAAGTCGTAGTCGACGGGTGCCAGCACCACGACGCTCGAGATCTTACGGCCGTTGAGTTCCGGCACGTCCGGTATCGGGAAGGATGCGCCGCTCACTTTAAGCGGCAAATAACGATTGTACTGCGAGGCATCCCCGCGCGTTCCCACGGTCACCGGCTCCAGCCGGGTCGCGTCGTCCCGTATATGCTGCTCCGCCACGGCTCGGCCTTGCTCCGTATTCGGATCAAAGCGTACTACTTTCATCTCCACGCCACCGGGCCGCAAGGTGGCTTGCTCGAACTTGGTCGCGTTACCACCGCGATTGGCAGCGGCGGTCACCTTCTTCTGCGTTGTCTTCAACGGCCTCTTGATGATCGCCGGCACGGGCTCGCTGCCGGCGGCGATCGCCGCACCGCCCCCGGCACCGTAGAAATTCGCCAGAGCTTCCGGCGGCAGTTTGTCGATCGGAATGTCGCCGATCTTGTCATAATCAAGAATCTGGATATCGGCATTGCCTAAAATACCAGAGCTCAGCAGCTGCTCTCTGATGTCATCCGGCACCTCGTCCGGTAGATTCGCTATGTTCTCTTTGATCTTGGCCACCTTATTCGGCGAGAGCGTCTTCGTGCTAGTCGACGCTTCGGTAGTCGTAGTGCTGCTGGTTGTAGTCGTACTTGTAGTTGTCGGTAAGAACGTTTTAGCGGTCGGCGGGGAGTTGAACTCTTCGGAAGGACTGACCGGGGTCGCGTAGATCTTCTGCGAGGGATTATTCTGGAACAATGGCCGGCCCCATATCGATTGTTGCTGAGTGAAAGTGGTCGTTGCGGTCGTTTGCGGTCGTTGTTGCGATGCCGGAAGCGTTTGCAAGAAGAAGCTTTGCTGACTACTTTGATGAGACTGCTTCGTGTTTAAGCGCTGGTTTAATTGTTGCTGCAGACCGTCACCGGAGATAAAATGATTTGTTAAACTTCCAGACAGTTGCTGGGAGTCGTGAAGGGCATTGAACGGTTGCGGGGATACAAACTGGTTTTGGGAAAGTTCGGGAAACGCCGTTGGTTGAACTAACGTGGGATTTGGTGGAAACGGACCGGGATGAAGAGGATTTTCTTGGATCGCGTAATGCTGTTCTAGCTTGGGCACGGCCTTGAAGATTTCACCTCCTGGTCGTTGAGATGATAATTGTGACTGCAATTGTGGCTGCAATTGTGGTTGCAATTGTGACTGTAATTGCGGCTGTTGAAGCTGCACCTGATTATACTTAAGCTGCGTACGATATCGTTGTTGTTCCTGAAGAAACTTGAGCTCTTGCTCCTGTTTCCGCCTGCGTTGCTCCTGTAAACGCTGCAATTCTTGCAATCGCTGCTGCTCCTGCTGCCGATGTTGTTCTTGCAAGCGTTGTTGTTCCTGCAATCGTTGTTGTTCTTGAAGCCTTTGATGCTCTTGTTGCCTCTGATGTTCCTGTTGTCTCTGCTGCTCCAGCAATCTCTGTTGCTCGACTTGTCTCTGCTGCTCCAAGAATCTCTGATGTTCTTGATGTCGCTGCTGCTCATGCTGTCGTTGATGTTCCCGTTGCTTCGATAGTTCTTGCTGTCGTCGTTGCTCGTGGTAACGTTGTTTCTCCAATTCCTGCGGTTTAAATTGGGGTAAAGATTGCGGCGGAAGCTCCACGTTGAAGCCATTCTGTCTGGATAACTGTTGCTGTTCCGAATTAAAACCACCAGATCTGACCAGTAATGGTTGCTGACTGGGCGGTTCTGCAAAATTATTTTGTAGCAACGACAATGGTCGATTCTGTACTTGAACGCTTTGATGCGATACCGACAGCGCAGATGGGAATCCCGGTTGCTGCGGATGATTGATATTGACGTGATGTGGTGGTGGGCCAAAATTGTTGAACGTCGCGCGTTGTTGTACTTCTGGGAGACCCTGAATAGTTATGGGATGACGTTGCAGTGGTCTCGATGGCGGCGATAGTGGCGGTAGTGGGTTTCTCAAGGATTGCTGAGGTGGGAACGTTTGATGATGCAGCGGCAATTGCTGCTGCTGCTGCTGTTGCTGCTGCTGCTGTTGTGGTTGTTGTTGTTGCAAAAATGTCGTTGCTTGCGCTTGCGGTGGAAATGAATTGATAATGCGCTGTTGCGGAAATGCGGGCGGCACTCGTGGGGATTGCGGTGGCTGCAGCGGTTGATAAGGGCCATGCTGTCTCTTCGGCGCTCCTGGCGACGTTGTTGGCTTGCTGACGTGCTGTTGAGTGCTGCCTCCAGGCGTATCCAGATCGCTACGCTTGTTATGATTGTTGGGTGGCACTTGCTCGGTACCGAAAGTCACGCGGATACCACTACTGCCAGAATGGTACACTTCGCTATCGGGTCGAATGATGGCGCGTAAAGTCGTCGATGGTTCCGGAGGCGGTGCCGGTGTCACTGTATTCGTCGGCTCTTCTGCATACGGTGCTGGGTTGTCCGGCTTAATTTCCTCGTGCTCCTCCACAGGTGTTAGAGCGGGGATTGGTGGATCGTAAACTACGCGAGTTTTATCACCGTATCCCTTTTTCTTCTCGTATTTTACGTAGAAGACTTGGATGGGTTCCTTGGTAGGTCGCGGTTGAGAAGAAAGTGGTAGCGGCGCCGGAGTTGGGAGAGTCTCATTAGATTCTTTGATGATAATCTCGATAATCGGCTCAGGTTCCGTCTGATAATAGCTCAATGGAGTCTCTTCATATAAATCGTCATTCTTCGGGCTCGCCAAGGGATTGTACAAAGGATCTCTCTGAGAATATTGCACTATCGGTTCCATTTGCACCGCATATGGCGGCAGACGACCCGCCTTTCGTAGAAAGGCGAGTTGTTGACGTTTGTCGCGATTCTTCGACGACGAGCTTTCCTCTTTGGCGAGGGTCGCGACGACGAAGAGCGTCGCCGTGAGAAGTCTCTGAAAGGAGAAAGAGATCAGCGAGTTGACAGAACATCTTTTTACATTGCGATATTGTCAGTCTGATAAAACTAACGTATATATTATTCACTTAAAAATTTGCGGTACAAATATAATTTTGTACTTCAGGTTTTAATAAAGTTTTAATTATTTTGTTTTAAATTAATAATTCGATTTTCTGTAAAGTAAGCAGCATATGTGTCGCTTTGTCAGTTTTTCGACACACACGATAAGGTAAATTCAAGAAGGTGGACTTAACGCGTTCTGATAACCGAGTAACCTGTTTAATAACCAGAAAACTCATTGATGGCCTTAACGGGCTTTGAATCGATTGGTATGCTAGCAAGATCAAGAAACAGTTAGCCTGATAAGCGATTCCCAGTCATGACTATGTTCTCGATATGGCAAGAACAGCTTGCGGATGTTTCTCTTTTCTCTGAAATCGTTCGAATCCCAAACTTCCACTACTAGAAGATTGCAAGCTTTCATATGTTCTACTGACAGTCTTTGGTCTTGATTTTAAACAAACACATAATGATACAATAATAAATAATAATAAAATAATAATTTTATTTTTATCAAACAAAAATAAAAACTGTTCATTTTTTATCACCTTTTAACTGTTTCATTAAATTTTTCATTCTAGTATATGTATACAATTTTTAATATAATAGTAATAATATTATAATATTTCTGTATTATATAAAAGTATATATATTATAGTATTTCAAAACTGCATACAGTAAATCAAAGCGACTTATTCTTATTGAAAGTTTGTCGCTATTCTTTCCTATGATCCTAAAAACACCATTCCATGCAATAGGATGCTATCCACGTACTCGATTAATCCTTTAAAGTCCATCCACCAAGAAGTGGGTGACGGAAAAAGAGAAAGAGAATCAAAGTTTAAGATCGGCGCGTTTCACCTCGAGAATTCGGTGCCTCTCTTGGTGTTGGTTTAATATATTCGAACGAGGCCCCGCGAGCACCTCTTTTCGACACGAAAACCGTCCGCCTCGGGCGTCGCAAGACCGCCCGAGGGTAAATCGCTATTAAACGGCCGTTGATCTCCGCAGAACGATTAGCGATCGTATCGTTGCCGGTCGCGTCTGCTACGATTTATTAGAGCACTTTCCCTCGTGCGTGAGAGTCGATACGCTCACTGATTATAAATGATAGATACCGCGGGGGGTCCCGGTATCGCGCGCGACATGCTTATTACGATGAAAGTACAAGCGTTTCTCCATCCAAGCGGTCCATCCACCCTCTTCGCGCCCTGTTATAATTACCAGCTTGGCGAACCGCATTGCTGCGATCGTTTCTCGGGCTCTTCCTCGTGGGGGAGATTCACACACACACTTCTCACCGGCCAAATTCCTCGCGTTAGAGGCGGCTGACTCGCGACATGACACCGCTCGAGACGATCAGACGTGCCTTGGCTGAACGATACCGAGCGGAACCTCGCATGGGAACTGAGGACAGATCTGGGCCCAGGGGCCCGTTTCTCCCTACCCGGTGCCACCACCACCGGCGGCCACCGCTCTTCATGAAGCTCCTCTCTAATATCGAAGACGTTGGAGCAGCACCTTTCTCCTCAGACACTCGCTCCTCGTTCGTGCCTGTTATACACGTGGACGCGTACGTAAATGGAAACGGTGGAGGAAAAAAGAAAGAGGAGACGTGTATCTTCTTCGCATACGTGACGACAACTTTCTTCAAATCCGCCCGACCACGCGATCGACCGTAGGAGGGGACTATTATACTAAGCGCGTCCTCACTTTTCTACGACCTCCAAGGCCCATCGAAACCGAAACTCACCTTTCCTCCTCGTCTCAACCAGGAGTTATTCGGTGAAAGAACGTAATGGATCTTAATGCCGGTAGACCGGAGGGGAGCGGTGGCGGATTACTTTCGCTACGGTACTGAGCCTCACTAAACTACGACTTCCTGGAGACAAGTGATTGTTTCCGATCCGTTCGGTAATCCTTATGTGTCTGCGAGAAAAGATATATCTGCAGGTCGAATCGGATGTCGCTCCAAATCGGTTGATGATAATTTGCGCTGGATGGCTCTTGCTCACGAACGATCCATCTTGATGGACGTTTACAATTAAGGCTGTCGCAATTATAATATCATTAGCATTTCTAAACTTTAATGTGGATCTTGCCTCTCTCCTAGAATTTTATCAGTCGCACCGACTTTCATGAATGTAGACAGCAGTACAGATTGCACCTTGCAAACGAATTCTATTGTACGAAAACGCAAGCTTCGCTGATTTCGCAGAAGAGCGAGAGAACCTTTCTTATTCCTGTTAGAGAATATGTTCTACAATAAAACGCGTAACATCGCAGATGGAACGACATTAATCGTGTTGTATCGCACGATCAATCTTCTCTTTCTATATGCACTTTTAAAATATGTTTTTATAACTTTGAACCATTATGTCTTTAAAAAAGTGTACAAGATGTGCGTTTATAAATATTTCAATCTTCCGTTAGCAATCTGTTTTTTCAAAATTTTTATACAAAGAAGGGCAGAATTTTTCTTGCTAATATATACATTTTTAAACAAATTTTCACATTTTTCCCCTATTTTCATTCAAATTTCAATTTTTATTAAACAAAGGTTTTAACATTTGAGTTTTAAAACACCTAAATTACAGACGGAGGATTAAAATAGTAATGTGACATTCTGCAGAATTGTGTTTTTCTTACCTCTTTTATAGAAAAGATTTCGCATATAATTCCTGACATTAATTCAGATCCTCTTACATCAACGGACTTGTGACGGATGGTTCTGATCTGATAAATTACATGAAACATTTTTCCAAGCATGATGTCGAAGCTGCGGCGGTATGAAGTAACTCGTTGGCAAGAAATCACACAGGAGATTGTATATAAGTCATGTTCGCCATTGCGAAAGGTGCAGATTCAGTGAAGCAATTGAACGGGATGACCCGCTAGAGACCTCCCCCAGTTGCAAAAGTGCCCTGCAGTGTGCCGCAGGCATCTCATGTACGTGTTTGCGCAACTTGCTTCGTTCCAGATCGGTCATTAGATCATCAAAGCCGCGATGATTTCTATATCTATATATTTATTTTCTAACTCCTCTTAAAAAAAAAAAAGATCTATCGTTTCGCAAGGAACGACCGACGACCGACAAGCGAGTCGTAAAAATTTCGAAAGTTACGAAAGAATTTGCGATAGGAGTTGAATCTTTTTTTCCTTTTCCGTATATCTTAGTATCGATGTTCATCAATTTCGGGCACCAATTCCGGCATTCGAGTCTCCGGACATCGAGATTGGACGTCGCGCGTCCTACTTGGAAACTTTCACTTATATGTCGGCGTAAGCGGATCCGAATAGCAGCCGGCAGGCTCGAAGATGATAAATACAGGATCCATCTGACCGCCCGAGACGGTCAGTGATCTGCGAGCCAAGAAGATATTTCACGCTGACTTACCGTTGTATTTCGCTGGGAAACGATATCGTTCTTAAGACGTCCTTCTAAGCGTACATAATTTCGCACGCGAGGACGATTTATCACTTTTCCACGGTACCATGCGGGTGATGCGATGGTGTCTTAACCATTTCTAATCTGTTTACTCAGTCAACTCTGTTTTTCGAAGACGCTCTCTCTCTCTCTCTCTCTCTCTCTCTCTCTCTCTCTCTCTCTCTCTTTCCGCATGCTATCTGTCTCTCAATTTTTATCTTCTTTATTTTTAAATTTTTTTATTTTATTGACTCAACCGTATGTATATTGATTTTTAGCGCTTGAAAGAATTTGATTCTAAAACGCTTAAATAAATAACCATCTCTCTCGTTCTCTCTCTCTCTCTCTCTCTCTTTTTTCTCTTTCTCCTTTAACATGACAAATGTATTGTCACATAACCATCCAACTTTCCTTTCATTATAAAGTTAATTGCTCAATTTTCGATGTTAAATAATTTCACACAATTCAGTCGTGAAATTTAAATTTCCGTTAAGGAAGCTATTCAGAATAAAGCGATACCGCGAAAAGCAAGATCTCGCCATTGTCGAGTTTCTCATCCTATGCAAAGTAAACGTAATTAAAATAATCAACTGTTTCATTCGTCTAAACATCGAGATCACCTATCAATTCACGATATCCTGCCGATGTTAATCGCAGGAAATGTTGTACAACAAATGTGTCTGCTTAGGAAAACTGTTGCGTGTAGAAACGACACTTTCTAATCGGTTTGCAAGACGACCACCACGATTATGTTTATCTAATTAAATCAGTCTATTTGCGAGATCAGCTCTAGGAAAAATTTTACGGCGCTTCGTTGTTGTACATTTTACCTCTTGCGTGTTACAGGCATGTTTCGTATTATGTTACATCGTTATTGCATCTTGCTATCGAGCCTATTCATGCGGAGCGTGGAAACTCCCCTCGGAAGACGATGGCTGGTGTCGCGTAGTCTTCGCGATTGCGAGACCACTCTCTGTTACTGCGATGACGGTAAAAGATTGCGAATTTGATTCTCCTAGTTCTCACGAAGAATACGATCCTCTTATATGCTAACGATATACAGTTCTTCGAGAGCAATCCGCTCATGAGCAATAGCGTAACTGTTGAAGAGTGAAAGTGCCATAAAGTGGGACGTTGCGAGAATAACGCTCGCTCTTATAATTAATAAACAAAGCCTACAAACGGTTCTCATCGTCCATGCGATTGTGCCTTCGACGCGACATTTTTACGAGACCTTGCCGAGTGTCGTTATCCATACTAGGTTGATGATCGAGACCTTTCTCACGCTCGCTTTTTCTGTAGGCATCTCGCGTGATGGCTATAAAATAGAACTAACAATGAAGTTATGAAAATTTATAGAGTTCTAGTTATGATTACAAGTTAATAAACGGATAAATACATGTGGAAAGAACAGTTTTGCTGAAGTATTAGGTGTACAAATTAGTTCGGTCCGTCTTTTGTGTTCAAAAATGCATTTGTTTCAAAACAAAATGAATGAACTATGAAATGGCTACTACTTTTTTCCATCTCTTAGGTAATTTCCGAATTCCGTCTCGACAAAATGACTCGTCTTTGGAGGCGATCGTCTTTTGGAAAACGGACCGAACTAATTTGTACTCCGAATATTTGAAAATATAACAGATCTAAAGATAATTTTTTGTTTGGACCATCAAAATAATTATGAAGGACGCTTAAATCGGTGGATAGTTATCGACTCTTCTATCAAAACGTTTATATAATTATTATGTGTATTTTATATAACGATATTTGATAAGCTACAACAAATTTATTTTCAGATTTGTATGTATAGCTAAATTTTTTGATATACTTCAGCAAAACTTTTCAATTATTTTTATATATACTTTTGTGTACCGTTTAATTTTTCTAGAATATTGGTTAAAAATATTAAAATCGTTTTGTTAAAATGCAACGTATTTTTTTCACTAAAAATAGTAAAAGTTTTAGGATGGATTGTACAGATAGAAAAAATAAAATCAGAAAAATGACGCAGAGATTAGGATTAGATTTTAAGTGGATTAAAAGTGATAAAGATTTAGACCTTTTAACAATTTTGTTGCAACTCGATGATTCGTTCTTGATTAAAAAAGTTTCTCATTTTATTTTGACTGCACGTATCTGCAGCGGTAATCCGATTACCAAATATGCGGATTGAATCGGCTTGCGGTAACCTTAATTCACTAGGTAGAAAATTCTCACTCGCGTTTTTCAACGTGAGAAAAATCTTTCGTTACACCTACAAAAGTGTTACACACCATAGGCGTTAATTCGAGTTTTAATTAATTAAAGAACGGAGCCAACCGAAACTGACACGCGACGCGACGCAGCCGTAAAAGTCACGCCGGTGGCTTTTATTCCCGGCAAAATTTACGGAACGGTAAAACGTCGCGGTTTTTCATATAACTGGAGTTTAAAACGCCCCGCGGCTCTGGCCATCCGTAATAGAGGAGAAGTTTTAACGCCACTCTCCGGTCATCCGCGGGCATCGGTTCTATCGGCGGAAAATGCATATAACTGCACGTTATATAATTACACACTGCGGGCCGTATCAGACGAAAAATTTTGCCGGTAATTGATGTTACACCCGAGGCACTTTCTATTTCAGGTGCAGCGGATTTCTTACTTCACGCCTGCATATACAGGTATACATACCGGCGACCGGCGCGAGAATCGATCTTGTCGGGAAAGGGAAAAGAGGGTGAAAAAGAATCGCTTTCCATTAATTTTTTTTTCCCGATCAATTAAAAACGGTTGGCTTTTCCGAGCGCCGCGGCGCGGGCGTCATCACGCTCAATTTAATAAATCACAAAGAAGCGTGAATAATAATAAGTATTAAACTTTCTCCATGGCTAAATCACTCGTGCCGTCACTGACGTGCGCACGTCGGCGGAGAGCCCGCGGTTCTCGCGGCTCCGTGAATTATTACGGACGGTCGTCTGTTTGTTACTTTTATGAGATCGAAATGAACCGGTGGATGCTCGTGTATTTGCGCTGGAATTTATAAATATACCGTAACGTAGAATTTTCGCGTACCACGCGCGTGCTACACTTTCCATTTCATTCGCGGTAAATCAGCCGGCTCTCGCGTGCGCGCGAGAGTGACTTTCTAATAATTTCCGATAATAATAGATCAAAAGGAAAAATATATACGTATGTAAAATTATGCGAATTTTAACGCGGCCTGAATGGAAAAGTACGATTAACATTAAGGTCGGTTTTATATCTTTCTCTTCGTCTATTTTACCCGCATTTCCACCAATGTAGATTAATTTTAATCTCGGTTAAATTTGCTCTTCGTTTCTTTTCTAGTTCTGAAAATTAAAAAACGACGTAAGTTAAACCGAGATTAAAGTTAATTTATATTGGCGGTAACGAGCGTTACTAATTCAAAAAATTAGAAAATGCATCTTTATCTTTTCTTTTGATTCTTTATTGATGGAACTGGGCCTCGGTGTCACCTAAAAAAGCATCGTTAGTTTCGCTGGGTAAATAAATGACACGAGTAGTTAAGTAAATCTGCGCACGTTGAAAAATCATAAATTTAAAAGTTCGTCAACAACAATCATATACATATAAAGACCATATAAAAGTCTGAGTATTAAATTAACCGTTATTCATTTAAATAATATAATTGCAATTTTAATTAATATATAATATTAAAAAGCATTTATTTTATGTTAAGATTACACGTAAAAATTATTTGTATCTGTAAAACACGCATCTGAAGAGGACCTAATACAAGGTCGAAACATGTAATGCTTTTTAATATATTATATATTAATTAAAATTGCAATTATATTATTTAAATGAATAACGGTTAATTTAATACTCAGACTCTTATATGCCCTTTATATACGTTTGTTGTTGAATATTAAGAGTCCTTTACTAATTTTTTCACGGCTGGGCATGTATTTAAAATACTTTTATTTGAAAACAGTATTTGTGTAATACGATTGTATCATATATTTTGTATTTCAGCGGTGTACATGAAAATATTCTGCATTTTACATTTTATGGAAGAGTATATAAAAGTATATGAAAGTATTTTGTATTTTAAATACTAAGACTGACGATTAATGTTATTATTTAAATTATGAAATACATAAAGCTTACAATTCCTTTCAATTTTAATTACAAAATATACGTAATACTTTCCATGCACGCCACTAAAATACGAAATAGAAAATCTACTTTTATCGCGAGAAAACTGTGTTTTAAATACAAGTATTCTAAATACATGCCCCAAGCCCTGAATTTTTTGTTAAAAGTTCTCAAGTAATTACGACAAATCACACGAAGCAACGCGAGCTACTCTGCCATCTCGACGCAACAATGGCCGCCCCCCTGGTTACGTGCGCATGCAGAACCTGCTCGAAGGCCCGCGTAACGCTCGAGAGAATCTTCAACGTGTTAGACACGTACGGCTGGTTGTTAGACTCGTATGTCGTGGTACGTAATTCATTAAATGATAGCTTCGGGAGGGAATCTCACACACAGCATTCTGGAAACGTTTCCCGAACCGCGTCTCTCCCTTTCGAGCCAATCGCATACACACGTTGTGCGATGTGTCATCGTAAACGCACCTAAATGCATCCTTCACGTATCTCCCGTCCGTTCATCTTTCACTTGATTTTTCGAGAACAGGCATACTTATTGACCTCGAAATCTGGCGAATCGCATTGTAGGACTTCTTCCAAGAGGAATTGTGGAGGAAACTGCCGAGGTGCTGGAGGGCCACTTTGCAAACCGTGTCGCCGGACGAATTCGGAAAATGGTTGGCTGGCGACATCTCGTGGTAAGCGCGTGACTTTTACGCCGGTCGGTAAGCGCGGGAATTGTTTTGCCGATTCCACTTCAAATTCGAATTGTGCCCATTTCTACGAATGTGTAGAGTAATTTTAATTTATTCTTTTCTAATTCTCTCAGAACTAGGTAGAGAGAAAAAGTACATTAAATCGAGATTAAAGTTAATCTGTAATGGTAGAAATGGGCAATTAACTTTATTAATTTTGGTTTAATTCGCTCTTCACCTCTTTTTTCCTAACATTAACTTCAATTTTTCGGTTTTATTTAATTTTTTTATATTAAATATTTTTTTAATTTCCTTAAAATAGGGAAGAATAGAAAATAAGGTAAATCTGAAGATTAAAAGTTAATCTGAATTGATGAAGAAATTAATGAAGATAATTCAGATATTTTTCTTAGAATTAGGAAACAATGAAAAGTGAGCTAAACCGAGATTAAATAAGTTAAGATTTGTGACAATTTTGTTATCTTTTTCATAACACAACATTGCTGCAACATTCGCATTATGTTACTGCAATGTTATTGCAATGTAATGTTATTACTAGAATTATTCGTGTCGGAGATTAGACTTGAGTCTACAAATACATCTCAAATTCAAACGGGAATGAAGAATGTCTATAATTAATTGACAATGTGCAATTTGTTTTGCAGCTCACGCGTATGGCCATTGTCGTTGCTCACACTTCGACAAGTTGCCAAGAATTTGCAGCTGAACAGAGATCATCGAAATGATAAAAGCATCTGGCGATGCGATGGACGGAAAAAGACTGATAATAGTTCGAAAAAACTTACCTTGGAATGTAAAAGTGAAGAATTACATAACAATTCACAGAATAAATATAATCTTTTTTTAAAACATGTTAAAATTAAAAAACGCCATGAGATTCGACAGATAACGCAGGTATAACTACACATATTTTTAAATTCCTAGCAATACGCAGAGTCACATCAAGGTATTACATCAAAGTAATGTCAAAATGATTTAAAAATGATTCATTTTAACGTTATTGATGTTATCGCGACCAATTGTTTTGCTTAATTGGGATTGCTTTGAATTAAATGTGGAATATTTATAGACCCTAAGTGATTTATTTTTATGTGTGATTTATCTTCGCAGGAATGCACAGACTGTGCACGAGAGTCCAATGCTAAATGTCTTGTAGATGTTGGAGCAGGCGTGGGTCATTTAGCCAGATCTCTAGCATTTAAATCTGGTCTACACGTAATATGTATCGAACAAGACGCATTACTGTCACAGCAAGCCAGGTAGTCTGCATTTCTTTTTTTACTCTAAATAATCTTGTTGTATTAATTATATATCCCGCAGAAGATAAACTGAAACAAGGAAACGATAACATTACGATGTTGTATAATTTCTTACTCAACAATGTAACTGTTATGTATTACAACATGCGCTATATTACATTATATTATATATTATTTATATTATATTTATATTATTCAGTAGGAAATAACAATATTGATACAATATTATTGTCAGATTGTATTCTATTAGTAGCAATCTTGTTATTATTTTACCACATTATTTATCCTAGATTTTAATTACAGAAAATGGGATAAGGAATTATTAGTGTCTCTATCTAAACGTTTGCCTGATCTGACAGTAAATCTGCCACAGCACATATCAATAAAACTGGAGGATACTAACTCTGATCTATCAGGGACAATCAGGGATATAAGAAGAATTTTCGCTGATAATTTCAACTTAAGTGAGAAAAAATCGGAGTTTGGCATTGTGGGGCTGCATCCATGTGGAGATCTCGCGGCCACGTTGCTGAGACTTTACGCATCTCAGCGCGAGACAAGATTCATTTGTATTGTAGGGTGTTGTTACATGAAACTGACGTTAGAGTATGTTTATCACAGATACATTGTAAAATAACGTTTATGAGATTACGATTGTATTAAATAATGTGATACATTTAGAAATCCGGCGGATGTTCCAAAAGGATATCCACTCAGTAAATATCTATCTTCATTTACAAAACACAAATTGTCCTACACAGCGTTAGAAGTGGCATGTCATGCTATTGAGACCTACTGCGACAAATTGAAGACTGGGAACTACGAAGATTTGATAGTTGAGTATTGCATTAAGGGCTCTCTTTCTTCTCTCTCTTTAAGAATAATCGGCGATTAATTGAGAATCGGTAAAACCGCTTAAGATAAAATTTCGAACATACAATTCGTGTTGTATTATTAATTTAATAGCTTTATTCGCATTACTTGATAAAATATTGCCGATTAAGTTAATTGGAGTTTGATTGAAAATTGCCCTAAAACATCACAAGTTTAGTTATTCGAACTGTTTATTTTCTTCAGGTACATGCTTATAGAGCTGCTTTAGAAACCATTTTAATAAAACGAAACATCCAGCTACGTCACACTCAAGTGAGGAACGTCAAAGTGACGAAACCTGTTACGTTTGAACAGCTGAGTAAAATTACAATTGTTGAAATTTTGTGTATTATTATATAATTGATAATTGAAGACGCTTATTTGTTTTTTTTTAGATATTGCATGGCTGCAACTGCAGATTTCGAGCCGAATCTCCGGCCTGAAGATTCAGATTTTCAAAATCCACAAATAAAATGTTATCTGAATCAGTGGCAGCAGATTGTGATATTCGGAGCGTTGCGTACAATGATAGCACCATTGGTGGAGACTGTGGTGTTGTTAGACAGATTCCTGTATCTATCTGAAAGTGATTTATCTCCCATATTGAAGCCCATTTTCGATCCCAGATTGTCTCCTCGAAATTTTTTATTGTCGTCGATAAAGAATACTGAACAATCGTTCTTTTGATTATGTTTGAAAATTTTTATATTTTTTATCAAAATAGAATTTAAAAAGAATTAATTATTCAATTAAATCGAATATTATTGTTTTAAATAAAAAAAAAATATTTTTTTTCTAGATCTGAAGTAAATCTTTTAAAAAATTTCATGCAATTTAATTAATGAAAAAACTTTTCCAAATTGGAAATTCCATTTTTATCTTGAATGTAACATGTATTATTTTGATAGAAAGCCATACGTTTGACTTTGTAGATTTAAATTTTTTGAAAATTAGACAACTAAACAATTGACGCTATAAGTTCAAATTTGAATAAAAAAAAACTGTGCTCTTATTACTTTAACAATTATAGTGATTACTCATTTTTTTAAATTAGGCAATTAAACAGTTGACACTACATATTTAAATCTGAATATGCCTCGTTAAAAAACATCGTACAAATTTGGTAAGTAAATTAATCGTATTCACAATCGGAAAGAGAGCGTATCTCGTTCGCGCGATACAATACGTTGTGATGTCGCGCGCATTTCGACGTTCCTTCTCATGAAAATTCAGTGGATCTCTGAGCTCCAATGGGAGCGCGAGTGGCAGGTCGCGCGACCTACTGGCGAGCCAATTGGAACGCGGTACTTCGCGACCGACGTTCGGCGCGCACGATGGCGGCTTAACGACGGTCGCGCAACGCGAGGGCGTTCCGTGGCGCCACCGGCAGGGCGCGTCGCAGTAGCCGGTTACCAGTTCGCACGAACCGTCGACGTCCTCTCTCCGGCGAGAGATCCAGTTTCCTTTAAGCCGCTCTCGCGCGTTTGTCTGTTCTCGCGCCGCGTCGTGTGTCCTAACCGATTATTATTTTCTCTCCTCCTCCCCCTTTTCCCGTCCGCGTGCACGAGAGGATTGTCGGCGCGGAGTGTTGAAAGGTGTGTATCGCGAGGGGTATACATAACAACGCTCGTGTCGTCGCTGTCGCCGTCGTCGTCATCGTCGCCGTCGTCGTCGGTCGTCCCGATATCGCTGTCGCCGTCGTGCAGCGCCGAGTGTCCCGTTCTACACGCATCGCCCCGGTGTACAACGGAGGATGGCATTCAACGGAGACGGTCCTCACTCCAAGAGGCAGCGGCTCGAGGAATCCGGACACAGGGTGAGTGCCACGCGCCGCCAATCGTTATCTATCCGCGCGGCGCGGCGCGTCCCGTCGCGCCGCGACGCCAACGTCCGATTCCCCCGCGTCCTCGTTTCCGCTTCGGCGAGGAAACCGCGCGTCGCCATTTATCCGCGGCGTAATGATCGCAAGGGGGGCCCCGCTCGCTCGCTCGCCGCGCGCCGCCCGAGAGGTAACGGCGATCGGGTTGTCTCGCAGAGACGCGCGGAGCGCCATTTACTTTTACCCCGCGGTGCTCCCGACATACGGCTGAAGCAACGTTATACCCCGCGACGCGACGCGCGACGCGCGTCGCGCCGGTTACACGTCCGCCGATTCGCTCACGCGATTCGATATCCCGATATGACAATCCGGGGGCGCGTTCGCTCTCGCCCGTCGTCGGAGGCCCGACAGATCGAAGAGAGCGAGAGGTCCGATCCGACGCGGCGCGGACGATCGCCGCGCTCCGCGCGACGCTCGGTCGCTCCGCCGAACGCGAGGATCACAATGCGTCCCCCAAATCTGATTCCGCGCGCCGATGATAGTCGCTTTACCGATTTTGGCGCCCGGAGGGAATGAGAGATCGTAAATGATTTCGCTTTGATATGATTGACTCAACGAGTCAGGAAGCAGTTGAAAATTTTGCAATGAAAATTACCGTTTTGACTTTCTCTTGACTTGGTATGCTCTTTTTGGGGGTAGATTTGGGTAGAAGAGGGACGTGTCTTCCTGTCAGAAATATAAATCGAGGTTCGCGTATGGGTTTTTGCATTTTTAAAAATACTTTGCGCGAATATCGGAGTGTTCACGTTGAATTTACTTCGAACAGCAGGAGAAATTGGAATGCGAAGAGAAAGAATGCCCTGGTAATACGCGGCTCCCTTTACGTCGAAAGTGACAAACTTTTTAAACTTGAGTTTCTCAAGAAGGGAGAGAAACTAAATACTTTTTAATTTGACAGGAAAGTATCAACCAGTCAAGCAGTATCGACAAAAGAATGTATTCTTGACATAATATATGATCACATATATCATTCTTGTTATTTTTACTCCACGTATTGTGTTAGATCTCGAAGAAGCAATGAATGACAACCCACCAGTCTCTCGAGTTAAACGGGATTCTGTTAGTTTTAAACTTCCATGTGTGTCAAAATGTAAACCAATCCATTTCTGTGGCTAGTTTTAAAGCAAACAACATCTGTATTAACGTAACTTGATAAATATTAATGTAACTTTTATCAAATTTTAGCACATTTCTTGTGAGCTAAAATGTTTAATTTTATTGCTTTAGTTAAATTAATAAATATATAAAAATGATTAGAAAAAACGTGAATTCGATATAATTTGACAGTACAACACATAAAAAAATCTCACCCTTTTTGAATTGTGACGATATTCTTTCAAATCACTTCCTTGAATTGTGACGTTTGGAACAATTTTTTAAACGAAGAGCTAAGTTAGTGCGTGCGTGTGTTTACTTTTGATGATTGATGGGTAATGTTAATCTGACATGTATTATGATAACAATTCGAAAATCATTTTTAAAAACGCTGAGAAACGAGCCTTAACGATCAGGCTGGATCTTGGGTGCTTCTAAAATCGTATGTGCATTTATAATAATAAGTTACGTACGTAGATTTTTAACGCGCCGAATTATTTTCCGACTTGAAACGCAATTTTACTCTACTAAACTATCGCAGTCACAAGTTAAATAGACTAACAATTTAACAATTTTTGATGCTCTTTAAGCATCTTATATCAATTTTAATAATGTTGAGTGACATGTTAAAGTCTGTGAATAATTAATTCTCTTATTGCGAAAGATATTATCTCGGCCGGGAGTCGAACTCGGGGATTTTTATAAATTACTCGGTTTTAAAAATTTATCTCAATCTTGAAATAAAGACGCGATATTTCCTAATTACCTTTGATCTTGCGCAAACTTTGCAATAAAGATAAGAAGACGATGCGAGGGAATGATTTCGCGTGTAATCGATAGGAAACTGGGAATTTTGTCAGAAGTCGCATGAAAGGGAAAGCAACTTCCATGCGCCGAACAATGCACTCTTTCAATTTTCGTTTTATCTAAAAGATACATAAAGCACTGTGTTTTACTACATAACTTTTTATTCATGGATTCTCTTATATACATATTCTCTTAAAATCAAGTTTTTCTTAAAAAAGAAAAAAAAACACGAAATTTCGATAAAGATGATTTCGATAACAAGATGAACTGTTAGAAAATTAAGCTTTTAATGTGTAAATATGCTAATAGCAAAGTTTTTTTTTTCGATTAATTTGAATTACACTAAAAAAGATAGCTGAAGATCAATTCCTATTATTGGAAAAAAAAAAAAAAACGGATTTTGAATTGATCGGAAAAGTACCTTATAATGCTAGGTGAGATGATCTCTGTATTATTAAAAATAACGTTAGAGTGTACATAATTAGATATTTTTTTGCGTTACTTAATTTAATATTCTGCAGATTGTATGCCAAAGAGAGATGACAAAGTATAATATGCTTCATTTAAGACCAGATTGACTCACGCTGGGTGCATTGAGATGCTAATTATATTCGCGTTTGTTAGCTTACTGCATTCAACTTCAATGCGCTCGCATTTTGATATTACGTAAAATATTTATTAACGCGGTTCACCTTGTTTATTCCTGCGCTTTGTTATGCATGCAATGGACGGAATAATTCACGTTTGCTTTAACGTCTTCTTGTTTAGTTATACGTTGCGGAAATTTCGTGAGAGAAAAAAGGACATGTCACTTTTAAAATACGTGAACTTGCTTTGTATTATAAATTAGCGATTTGATGGTTTGAAATTTTACACATGTGATCGAATTTATTTATTTTTTAGCAACGTGAATCTAATCGCGAGTACAAACTTTTAACTAATACTACGTATGTATTAATTACGTTAATATTCACTCATTATTGTGTCCATACTGTTACATATCCAATCTCTTGGAGTTAAATAACATTTCGTTATTTTTAATTTCTATGTCAAAATATAAATTAATCAATTTCTGTAGTTTTATAGTTTCAAAGTGCACAACGTTCATATTAAGATGTGAGGTTAGGTAGTGAGGTTATTAAAATAGTAGCAGTAGCAATCTTTATGAATGATGAAAAATAACTCAAACCGATTACAATTTGCCACTATAAATTTAACAGTATTCATCTGTGATTTTGAACCCGCGCGATTGATACTCACGTTTTACAATAAGACGTCACTGAGGTCTTAAGACCGTAAGAACTGAGAATCTGAGTCGAATAATCTGACAAGAATAATCGATTATGATTAATCAGTTTCTCCCGGCTTAAGACTTAAAGCTTAGTTTTAATGACTTATTGTAGAAAGTCCAATGTGTCTTGGGAACTTCACAATGCATTTCAAGGCATGTCGACGTCGCGACAGTAACTTGTTATCCAGACGACGCTCCTCAACGATGTCGACAAGTCGCATTATCGTTGTCGCTAACGACGATCAGCAATGCCAGGATGATGCACGTGCAAAACAAAGCCTTGCGCGCGCGCGCGCATTCCGTGGTCGATAATTCCATTATCAGCGCGCGATACACGGACATTCCGTCGGGATAATCGCGGCGTATCAACAATAAGGTCGCGTATTTGTGCCGAACTGGAGGTTAACTCCATTTTTATTTCATTCGTTACTGTTCGGATAAAAGTCGAAAAGTCGGCCAGTACTGGCTGTTTAGAGGCACTTTACTCTTATGACGTGCGGTGCCAGCGCGCGGATTGAAAAATTGGTTTAAACGTGTTAAAAAGGTGGGTAGTGTCGCTGAAACTTACCGGGAACTGTTATACTCTTCGAGTACTACAAAATGGCGCGAAGAAAA